CCTTGATCTGAAGTCCCTTTCTGGGCCCCTTCTGCCCTTATGGATCAATTGGTTGATCAATCAAGGTCAATGTCAACGACTATATATTATCTTAAATTCGATACCCTTATTTCCTTTATAACGTGTGTGCATATCTGGTACAGTGATGGGCATTACCAGGCCTACAATATCGTCATAATTAATGGTTGCGTACCTGGACTCTTTTTTCAAAAAAAAAGCGGAGCGACTCTCCACTTTTAGCTAACAATTGCACTTATTGTAGAAAAGGCAGTGGCTATTATTACATTAATCTTTAACGAATTCCTGATTTTTCATTGGATGTTAGGCCTTCTGTATGAATATGGATTGCATTAGGACAAATAGCATGAAAGCATTTATTATGAATTTGTTTAAATATGGTACTGTAACTATAACCACTAGCAAACAGTATTGTTTTTTTTTGCAGAGTTTTTTACCCACTGAAAATTACTGATAATAAAAATAGTTCTTCTTACAGTATAGAGAGTGGCATAATGGACCTTCGGAAGACTCTGAACAAAGGCGTTAAGACGGGACTTGGAACAGGTAAGAGAATATTTGCCACGATTTGAGGACACTGTCTATTAAGCAAATAAAACTGAAGAATATTCCATTAATCCTTTCCTCCCTTGTATATTGTTAGTAAGCTGTTAAACAGCGTTAACATTTAAGTAAATTACATGCAAGTTTGTTAGACATGCAATGTATTGAGTAAAACGTTTTGGATAAAACGCATTTTGTAGCTTTTTATTTAAAATTTTGACAAAATAGTTTCCTCGCCATCAAAGACCTTTAATTGTTTGTATACCAATCTGTAACATTTTCAATATTTGATAACTAACAATATAGGCCTATTATAATTTCACTTCACTTTTCATTCTCTAATTTTCATACTCAAACAAACACCAAAATAAAATCATTTATTTAGTGGATGGGTTCATTATTTCATACAAAATTTTCGATTCGAGATGGACTTCTTTTCGAGGGTAATGTTGCAAAGTAAAGAGGAGGGGGCGGGGGTTCTTTTCAAAATGAGCGCTTTAAATTTTGGGAATTACTACTATACAACAATAAATATGGTCACTATAACATCTCTCTGTATAATGGAGTGTATTAACCAGCATTAGGTAACCTGAACTACTGTATAAACCAAGCGCGTTTTTAATTTATTTCTTTGAAATTCATGTACAGTGTATGTAACAAAAACTGGTAGATTATTTTTTAATCATCTGCAACTGATCAACATTTCTGTTTGTCTTGTGAAAGGGATTGTCACCTAGTAGGACAGTGATAATATTCACTATTGACAATCCTTGGTGCATGTGTTGTGTGCCTAAAATATTGCAAATTGTTTCGGGCGCTGTTGTGTCATCCATGTATTTGACTAAAGGTAAGTTAGATCCGACTAATAAGAGTGTTTATGAAGATCAAAACAGGGACTGATCCTACTATAGCCTAGCCAAGACCCGTGTGGCAGACCACCGTTGGGAGACAAGCAGAATGAGATGTGCTTCTGTATTCTAACTTGGTTTACTTGTTTTATCCAATCATCCTATGTTTTAATTGATTAAAATGCATTTAAAATTTGAAATCTTTGTGTTACAGATATCTCTGGTGGTTACAGTGCTTCAATACCGGCAGTCATTCGTGATGCAATCGTAGCCTCCAAAACACTTGCAATGGACAAGTCTACAAGCTCCTACAAATCTGTTGACTTTAAAGAAGCATTTCGTCTGGCCACATTAGGCGGAAGCCAAGGTACAGGGACAATATTTCAAATGAAGCATTGGTTTATAATGAATATTACTGTTTGTGTATTATGTAATTAAATTAATTTTTTGATTCGATACAGTTTTAGGACTAGATGACAGAATTGGAAATTTTGAAGTTGGAAAGGAATTTGACGCTCTATTGGTCGACCTTACTGTACCTTGTAGTCCATGTGATATATTTGCATTCGACACAACAGAGGTAAATGAGAACTTGTCGTCTTCTTTATCAGCTGATTTGCTTTGGTCTTATTCTTACTTTCTATAAACTGTACAATAAAATATTTCCAACCATCATGACGTCATTATTATTTGAGTACCTTTTATCTCTCATTTCTCTCTATTCGGTATTATTGATTAAAATACAGCATAAACAGAGGTGAACAAAAAATGATTTACAACTCTAAAAACTCCCATCTTAGGATACATAAATATCTGTACACTGTTCAAGGAGTTACTTTAACTCCAAGCTAGTTAAAAATATCAATGTAGGCCTAATGCGTTACCCAATTCATGTTTTGTTTCTTTATTTACTTTACTTTTACATTAATCAACATAAAATATACAAAAATCATACAATTATAATTAATAAAATGCATAAGTACTCAATGATACACAAATTAAACGTGAAGATAATAAACTGAAAAAAATCTATGTTAGATGGTCAGAGAATTTAAGACACTATAATATTAATTTATATTATAAACACTTAACACTTCTACTGTCTTCTCATTATCGATTTTGTTTGTTTTCAGACGATCAGTTGATCATTTTTAAAAGATCGATCAGATTATTAGCGTTTTAAAAATATTTTTATTGCGTGGGTTGTACTTTTTGCTATGGGAAATCGCCAAGGCACCCACTCTAGGTGATAGGCTAGAAAGCAAGTGCTCATGAGAACAAAAGAAAAGAATTCACATTCCCCTCAAATAAATGGCCATAATACATGAGGAAAAGAACAGGTAGAGTTCCAAAGAGAAATGCAACTTTTTTTATTTTGCATGGGACTAACAATGTTGATTATGTGAATCTTGGATGAAAACCGGGTTTTGGATACAACACCTGCTATAAGAGCAATGAATGGAAATAAATAGATAAATACAGAGTAAAAACACCAAATTTTACCTAAAATGCTAGACAACGGAATACGCCAACGTTGGTGGCGACACACGTCACCCAGTGTCAGTCACACAATAAAATAAAAACAAGAATAACAAAAATGTAGCCTTCAAATATAGGCCTAAGATATACTATTATCAGATAAGAAATTATATAAAGAGAAGAGGTAGGTCATGCAGACCAACTTGTGAAATGTCAAAACAATAATATTGCATAAATATATGACTGCGTTAGAAATTATTAGACCTAACCCCTACAAAATTAATATTGATCAATAATTTATTATATCTTTTAGGAGCTTCTGCAAAAATTCATTTTCATCGGTAAGTGTATTTCATCCATTCAGAACTTAAATTCGGAATAACATAACGAAATTAGCCAGGCCTATTGTTGGTTGTAATCAAATATTATGTCGTTAATTAATTGTAGTACTGTACATAATTTATAATGAAATGAGACTGATATTATAATTTATACATTTTAACAGGAGATGATCGGAACATCGTCGAGATATACGTAAACGGTCACATGATCAATGATCCGCGCAATCACGTGAGAGAATAATAAAATAAACAAAATTGGATGTTTGTTAATTTTCGCTGTTTTTTCCACTGATCTTTATTATTGCAACTGTTCTATCAATAGGTATAATCATGATATAATAAATACAATTTTACAATAAGGCTTATACTTTTTTAATGAGCAATCAACATTTTTTAAAGTACATTGAGACCTACCTACATATACCTACCTTGTCTACATTGTCCTCTGCAAGTTAGCAGGTCCATTAAATATTAGTCATGTATTCCACTCCTATCTATTAAGTGATTTATCTTTTAATTCATATTTATTCCATTTAAATACAATTGTTATTATAAATATAAATATATAGGCCTAATTGTTATTTTTCGTTTTTCGGTATTAGTATCTAACTGTTTTTCTTTAAATGTAATGTATATTAGGTGCTATGTTTGTATTTATGTATAAAAATAATTATTTATAGCCTATATTTTCATTTTGTATTTCGTTGGCATGAGTAGAATTCAGAACACAGACATGAAGAAGCTATCTATTTGGGTACAATATTTAAAAGAAAAATATATATATATATGGTTTTGGAGAATATGCATACAGTTCACGTGTATCATTTGTTAAGTGTGTATACTGGAGATAATATTATTACATATCAAAATATAATACTTATAGATTATGATGTAGGTCATTATATCTCATTCGAAGATTTATCTGAAACTTTTGGCCCCATTTCCGCAGCGAAAAAAATAATAAAAAGGCTGCTTTCCAAAAATGTATACGTAATAAGTGCTGCGGAAACACGGCCTAAGACATAACAGGTTTGAACCACCCTTTTTAAATTTACTTATCTAAATGATTCCACACTTGGACAAGGAGTAATGGCCTCTGCCCGGGGACTAGCCGAGAGCGGGGAGGGGAGCATAAATAATTCAATGTTACACCTTACCCCAGTGTCTGACGAAGTTTTCTGTCATGTTGAGTGGACCGACCAAATCGGGTGATTGTAGAGTAGGTGACAGGAAGAGCCACAAGGGCCAGGGATTTATTACAATTTGTTATTACCCACCTTCCTAGAATTTTCTTTTATGCCTGGGTATCTTAGTAGGAAAGCGTTATCGTAAGCACATTGAAGCCCTACCCCCCCCCCCCCAACCACACATACCTGTGCCAGTCGTATATACGATAACAACATATTTTGAAAAATCAATTAAAATGATAGAAAAGTCATGAAAATACGATAAAATCGTTGTTATTACGATTTTACCGTTTTCCCATGATTATGACGTCATTTGAATTGATTCGTGAAATTATTTTTTATTGTATACACGATAAGTCGTTATCGAATTTTCTAGTATAAAAACTTCCCATATTTCCATATTTCTTTTATTTTCTATATGAACAATTGCTTTTTAGCTTTTTATCGTTATCGATCTTTGCAAGTATAAACAGGCCTTTATAATGCTCTTGTGTATTGCTTTAATATTTATCAAGATGTTTGCAAATTCAAGTTTGCTTGCTTTGACGAATTTGATGACGAAAGCATCACAGACACGCATACGCACCTGTCCATTGCAAAGGTTTCTATTGCTTTACTTTACAACATAGGAAACAAAAAGGACTAATGGTTTTAGCATAGAGAAAATATTTTCTCTATGAGTATATTAAGCCTATGTATTTTTTATTAATGTAAAGACGGAAGATATGAAATAAATATGATAGGCAATTGATGTAACAATAATACAGATCCGGATGGGCCTGCCCACAGGCAAGATCCATGATTTTGGTTGCTTCTAGCAATCCGCAGCAGTCTGTCTAGCAATTGCGGCGTAAGCCCCACCCCCATCGGACAAGTCAAGGCTCCCCCCCCCCGGCCGAGCTCGTCGGGCAGTCGGACAAAAAAATTAAATATAGGCCTACACTAAGCCAAACTAGGCCTATATGTCTTTCACACTGAGTAAGTGCCATTTCCGGCCATCCAGAGCTCCCTATTTTTAGAAAAATCTCATCTCCCGAAACCTCTCCCTCCTCAGGCATGCAAACTTAACCCCCTGTCGGACAGCTTAGTTCCCCCCCCCCAGAAAATGTATCCCAGAGCAGCCACTGTCTAGGCCTTTAGGCCTATGCAAAATGTGGCTCTAGGCTACTAAAGAATCTGCATTAATAGACCTATAGGCCTAATCGTTATTTGATACATTAATTTTATACAATACAAATTGCAATACAGACATTGGAAAGTTAATATGTTTAATTTAATTAAATATTTAACATTCAGTTCCCCTTCTCTTGTGTAATAAAGCCGGCAATTTTGTGAAACACTAAAAAAGTAATAAATCTTAACTTCAGCAGTTTTGTTAATTAGGTTGGAAAATCTACAGACTAAGCACACAGTGGCGGCTCTAAGATGTCCGACTGGGGGACTAAGTATTTATGGGTGTAACTATAGTGCGCAGCGTTATTTGAGGGCCGAAAGACCGAGCCGGGGGTGGGCATGAGAGGGGGTATCCCCTCCTTCCAGAACAAGATTTTTTTTTTTAAATTGGGACTTTCAGATGGCCGGAAATGGCTGGGATGGATAAACTAGGCCAAATTTTTCCTTTTTTTTTTTTTTTTTGGTTCGACTGCCCGACGAGCTTTGGCCGATGGTGGGGCTTCACCAAACCGATGGGGTAGGGGATTAAGCCCACCCCGTCCCCCTCCCCTGCCCCATTGAATTGTTTTCATTTCTTTCTGTGATTACGGCCAATTACCTAACGGTAAAATAAGACTAACTCGGCCTCCTATGTATTATTTCACTCTGTGTAGACCCCATATTGTTCCAGGGATCCTAATTTTGGAAAAGAAAGTTACACAGGGACAACTTATTTTTTTCTTACATTGATTGTACCATAAGAGTTGCTGTTTTTTTGCTATACTGGGGACGTGTGATTACAGACAGGGCTCACTCTGTGTCGAGGACGAACTATAACTGAAACACGAACTATAGCTGAAATTATGCATGACGTTAACATACGAAGCCACGCCCCCTCAGCTGAACCTGTTGTATTTAGCAACTACCGATAAGAAGTTTCTGATTCTTGATAATCGATGAGGGCGTATTCCAATATGACAAAATGACAAAGGATTAGGATAATAGGCAAATCTTGATCATCAAATAGGCTACAATAGTAAAATTAAATGATTTTAAGGGTAATAGGGAAATAAATCGTTATTACGGTTTCATAGAAAGCATAATTAAATGTGAGACTATCATGAAGATAGCAGGTTTTTGAATCCCACCATAACACTTTTTACATACACAACTGAATAATGGAACTTTTGAGACATTGAGAAGGGATGCTTAATAGGCCTACGAATAATATTATTGTTTCGAGCACTGTTTTTATTATTATTTATCTATTTGTTTATATAGTGTTTACGGTGCTACGCAGCAAAACTAATTTGAATAGTTTATATCCATGTATACATTACATGGGTCTGTTTTTAGGTCAATTAATTTAGATAGTATAACTTTTACTCCTTATAAATATTAACAGAGCATCTTGATCCAAATTTTGTTGTAATATTTATCAGTTTGTATTTATTTATTACAAAGTTTTAGGAGAAAAATAAAATAAGAAATGCCCTCTATGTTATGGAACCAAAAGTAAACACTATCGAGGGTTCTCCAAGGCATCGTAAAGTTCTTTAAAAAGCAAAATTGCATTAAAAAATAATTTTTTTCGAAAAATAAAATAAGTTTTAGAAGTCGTAAAAAAGATATAAGGCCCCATAAAAAAATTATTAGTTTATCACCCTATCAAAGAATAAAAACTGATGAGAAAGGAATTTTTTTTTTTTTTTTTATCTAACCATGCCCCCATTTTACCGATTTTCTTAAGTAAATCAATGGTTAGGGACACATATATAAAAATTCATAGGAATGGAATCAAATTTATATTTATAAGATATGTTTTTGTTGTACCAGTAAAAACTTCGACCGTTTTAAATAAAAATATATGTTGCTTGAAAAAAAAAAAAAAAAAAAAAAATCTGAATTTCCCCAAAAGTGACAAGGGAAGGGGTGATAAATTAATAATTTTTTTTATGGGGCCTAACAATTATATAATTCATTACAACAACAAAAATACACTAATAAATAAATTACAAGTTATTTTTCGAAGAGGGTAGGCCTACTGGTTAGGCATGTTGCATTGGCGACAATATTCCTTGATTCCTTGAGCTTGACTCCAATTTTGGATGGCGACCAACCACACGCAGCCTTTGGATAATACATAGCCACCACTGTGCTAATGCATATTCATAATAATAACAACAGTAAACCGCTTGAACGCTAAGAACTGACGTCATCTTTAAAAGGCAACCGTTCTTTACTATTAGGTAAAACCACGTGGGAGTGTGCGTGTGTGAACTAACCTAGCTAGAGTTGGTAATGAGAGGTTGTTGATGAAGAATTATAATCTGCAGCTTCTTTTAAAATGTCTGCTGGAGAGGTAGCAAGCTTTACCATAATCGACTACGTCGTATTTGCACTTGTTTTGGTCATTTCTGCTGCTATTGGGATATACTACGGTTTCAAGGATGGGGGACAACAAACCACTCAAAAATTCTTGATGGCAGACCGCTCAATGCGTTTCTTCGCGGTCGGATTTTCTTTACTGGCTAGTTGGATGTCAGCTATAGCTTTGCTTGGTACACCGGCTGAATGCTATCTTTTTGGTACAGAATTTTGGGTTGTTATTTTGTCGTATCCTCTAATGACAATGCTCACCGCACATTGTTATATACCTGTGTTTTATCGACTTAAACTTACAAGTGTTTATGAGGTTGGTATACTATTTGTTTTGTTATTTAAATATGCCTAAAAAAGGCCACCAAGGTCAGTTCGGGCAATTTTGTTTTGCCGATACGATAGCCCAGGCCTAGCAGCTTGAATTTAGGAGGCCAAGTACTGTAGGCATAATTAAGGCCTACATGGTTGTCCGAACATTATGGAAAAGAACATTATATTTTAAAGTTATAAAAATACATTTAATCTTGTACTTTTCAAACTTTTGTCCATATCAAATATTAAATATCAATATTAATTATTATTGTAAATTCTTTGCTTTGGTCATTAATTATTCTATAAATTAAATATACAGAGTTTAATGTTTTTTTAATGCATTCATATAAATATTTTGCTTTTGTTAAACAGTATCTTGAACTACGATTTAGTATCTTGGTTCGTGTTATAGCAACTGGAGCATTTATATTTTATATGGTAAGGTTCCTCTTAACTGTATCATACTACATACAGTACGCCGTAGTACTGTAATAATATTAATGCATACCTTGTATTATTATTATAGTACTACAGTATACTGTAAGAATAATAACTGTATAATTACAGTATAAAAAGGTGTTTTAACAATTATAAAAAAACCATTAAATTCTCTAGTGTGTCATCCATTTAGAAATAGAGGGGAGGGTGGTTTCTTAAGAATTTACAACAAAAATTTAGACTATAGACACATCACCTCAATGCCGAAGCAATGTATTCTTGTTACTGTACACCACATGGTAAGTTAATACTAATAACCTGTATTGTTTGTAGTGATTCATAGTGCTTTTGTTTGTCGTTTAAGGGCAAATAAGATAAATTTATTAGTTTATCACTCACTGTCTGCTTCAAAAATTCTGGAAAAATTGATGCAGGAATAAAAAAAAAAATTGTTTTGCCGCATCAATTATGTCAACAGCATAACAATAACAATGCAGTATTGTGACTTCAAATACATTTTCTTTAAAAAACTATAAAATTAAACCAGTTTTTATACAATATTTGCTATTAAAGACCAAATATAAACAGTCCCTCCTTCATCGATAAAAACAAAGGCGAAATAATCTATTGTTCCGATTAAAAAAAAAAAAAAAATGCCCTCCCTCATCATTTTTTTTTTAAAAAGAGTGATAATCTAATAATTTTTTCTATGTGCCCTAAAATCAAGCTTGGTTCTGATACATGAATCTCTTTCCCTTCATACAGAACAAAGAATCAAATAATAATTATTTGGTTAATTTGCTGTATGCCAAGTAATTTTAGTAAGCATTTCACAACCAATTTAAGATATTTTTTGAAAATACGCGAGGTTGAAAAATAGGGAGTTGGAAGTGACATTAAACAATGTATTACTTTTTCTATTTGGCCTTCCCTATCCCTTCCAAAAATGCTCTTAAATTGGAAGTAAAGTGTGGCACTACATAAAGTGTGGCACTACTTAGCCATTTTTGTGCACACCACTACGCTGTATGTGTTTGATCCGTGCGTGGAGGATTTTAATTACCGTATATACTGGCGTATAAGATGACACCCGAGTTTGAAACCATGGCCATATTGTAACTACTGTACATCCCTGTAATTAATAATAACTATGTCAGTAGAGCATTTATGTTTCATTACAGTAATAAATTTGTATGTTACAGACGATCCACACTTATGACAAACATGATTTAAAAAATCTAAATATTGTAGTCGCACGTATAAAGCAACCCTATGTTTTTGTTTTTTTTTTATTGTAAATTGCTATTTTAAGCCTTGTTTTATACACAAGAACCATGTGTAGAGCTGCCCCATGGTAGGCAAAAAATATGAGAGTACCTTTGTAGATCATGTTTGTTACAGTATGTTGTAATTTACTGTAGTTTGTTTTCATTTTCATTTTAATTTCCTTAGGCACAAGCGCCAAGGATATGCCAATAAGTGAACTTAATCAAGTCTGTCCTACGTGGCATATCCATTTAACAATCTTGGCCAATGATCTTCGTCCATGCACAGAATAATGCAAGGAAAGAATAGTACAGTAATTGAGGAAATAAAAAGCAATTGGAAAAATAGTGAAGATTTAGTTAACTTCGGAATTAAAAATGTGAATTTAATCAAGGTGTAACTAAAGTTCATAACTCACTGGGGGCGTAGGCAGGTTTCTACCTGATGAAGGGCTGTGAAAATAGAGAATGAACTTAAATCATTTTTAGTATTTTCACCCAATTACTGGGACCAGCTGCTCTCCATGTCCATGATGTGGGTGGGGGCGGTAGTCAGTTGGTGTGACTTACAATTGTTGCTGTAGGAAGGAGTGATTTACCTGCACCAGTGAACTAAGAGTACAGTAGCAGGGACTCAACAAAATGGTTTATGGTAGTAAATCTCTTTTTTAATTGATCCACAATGCCAGAAAAGTGTCTATTTTTTAGAAAGAAAACACTGAATGGTTATACAATAAAATTCAAGTTATAATTTTTTTATTTAAATTTCATTATTTTTCCTTCTAGGTAATGTACATGTCAGTTGTTCTCTATGCACCAGCTCTGGCACTTAATGCAGGTACAGTAATTTGACCTACAGTAAGCAATTAAAGTATAAATGTATTTTTATGGTTGGTGGGGGGGGGGGAGTGATTTATTCAAAAGGGGAGTTTATTTCTTTTGGTGTAATGTGGATGTGTATTCAAATGAATGCCCATTAATTTCAGTGATATCCTGTACCATGAAATGTGTTATTGCTTGATCATAAAGTCTTACTGATCCCAGTGTAATTTTACTGGAGTGGGACATTGATAGACTGTGTTGAGAGTAATGTTGCTTTCATTAAATTTGATTAGTCATTTGTGTGGGGGAGGTGGCATTTATTCCAGAAAAAAAAAAACCCCTTGGGGCATTTATTCAAGGGAGGCATTAAATTCATATGTAACTTTTTATAGATGGTGTTTGTTTGAGGACCACAACATTTTTAAAGTGGGGCGCTTGTTGGTGCTGTACAGTATGTAGTTTTAAAAATGTTTGGTTTCTCTATTCTGTTGCTCCAGTTTACATTATAACATTATACTGTAAGTTGTTCGTTTTTTTAAATACTTCAATAGAAATACAGTATACAACAACTGGTTCTTCTTAGCCTACAGTATGATACCGTATGGGTTTCACTGATAAGTTTGACATGAGATAGTACACATTGTGAGCAGTTAAGCTCAGTCCGCTAATCTGGTGGTAGCCACTGTGTGTGCGCTGAATCGTGGAGATCTCTAGGTCCCCAGTTCAATTCCCATCGCTGACTCTCCTTGTACAGTATTTCAGCTGGAGGGTTGAAAATACAAGTTATAATAGCGCACCGTCTTTCGGATGAGACGTTTAAGTCGTTGGTCCATGTTCATTGATGGCCCATGTGCATGTTAAAGAACGTAGTGCACTCTTCGGTTAAGAGTAGGGGATCATTGCCTTCCGGTGTACTGCCCAATCACCACCAGAAGGACCCCACTGGAAATAAGTCTTCTTCTAGACTTTTGTGGGCTATCCCTGGTGTTTCCACCGAATAAATCCAATCCAATCCAATCCAATCCACATTAGTATGAAACAAACTCAGAAAAGACTGATATAAGCCATCATGATTTAATAGTTCGACTTTTATAGTTTTTTTGTCTTTAGTAAGACAATGAACAAATAGAGTTGGCAAATGGGATGTCTGATTATTTTCATGGAAAATGTTTCCTCTTGGAAGCTCTTAATACAAATTATGCAATTTTCAAACTTTGTTCTTTACTGATTCAACAGTAAAACACAGGCAGATTCTTTTAAGGTCACAATTCCAAGGTCATAATAAATTATTTGACAAATAAACAGATTACAGTATCAATACTATCATTTTTATTGTCCACTGTGTAAACATAGTGGTTTCAATTAGTACACCAGATTATGGTACCATAAATACAATCTATTATGTACAGTACCACCAGATAAGAAATCTATTATATGTTGAGATATCTCGTACTATACCAAAAGTGCCAGCAAATATTATGTTTACTATACCAACTCATCATGTTGCACTCAGACATTTACTGATTGCTGTTTTGCCCTTCAAAGAATTTGTGTAAATTAAGTTAACAAAAATAGCATGTAGTATTGTACTGTAACAATTACAACATGGTTTGAAGTGGAGTAGTGAATGTTACCTCCTGCAAAGGAGGAGTGTCCCAATCATCCAATCAACAAGGGGAAGTAGATTTCGCTGCTTTACCAAATTGAAGCCATTGTTTTACTCATAGCAAATTGTCTGTCTACTGTACATTATCCATTTTGATCTGTGAGTGTAAATTTATGCAGTTTGCATACATAGGCAGGGGGGGGAGGTAGGCGATTTTGGGTAGTATTTTTTCCCCACAAATTGTTCCCTGTAAATTTGTCAGACGCAGTAGAAACCACCACATCCCTTGCCAAATGGAATTGACAGAATGATAGTTCCCACCCACTAAATGCATCTTTTACTTGCCTACCATCAGGTAAAAGATTAAAATCACAAACTTGTAGAACAAGTAGGTATCTCAACTCATTCGTCACTATCCATTAGAATTCTTAATCAAAATGTCAAATAGGATTTAGGGCCTGATTATAATTATATTGTTGTTGATTTCTATTTATTTTGCACTTTGTTTTGCGATGTGATGTACCAATTGGTTTTCTGAAAGGACACAAAGAATTTTGAATCTACTGTACTGTTAATTTTTGCTTTGTCCACGCTATCAAATTTTCTTTGACAAAACTGTAGTCATGATGTGTCTATACATAATATGGTCATGATGTGATATCATCAGGCATCATTAGGCATCATGATTGTTTTGTAAAAAAAAAATCTGAACAGATCTGTATGATGATATCGTATATACTGTAGTAGATGCTTTATAGCAATCCTGTATTGTATTTAGCTGTAAATATAAACATTAATCCTAAAGATCTTAGTTGATGTTTGACAAAAGCAAAATCATAACATAATAATGTACTCTATGCCAACCTTTTCAATGGTAGAAATTATATTAAATAAATTGATAGATATTCTGGTTTTGTTTTTAGGACCCACCTTTGTTTTTTTAAAGTGTGCCACTGATGTAAAAGTGCAAGTAAAACTGAATTGATATTGTGTTTAGATTTTCATTTCTCGAAGATAAAAAAAAAAACAAAAAAACATAGAGAATGGTAACAGAGACGAATTAGTAATCACAAAAAAATCCAAGGAACTTGGAAACAATTACATACTGGTGTATGATAGTTTTTTAAATGCTTCATTAAAATTACATTAATGTTGTCTTTTGCAGTGACTGGCTTGAGTTTATATGGATCCATTGTTGGCATTGGACTAGTCTGTACTTTCTATACTTCTTTGGTAAGTTTCTTTGTTGGTTGTGTGGTACACATGAGGTTGAAAGTGCAAAATTTATATAATTAGGAAGAAATATACATGCATGTACTTTATTTTTGGAGATTTCAAGACAGCGGCGGGCGTTATGAAAGTTAAAGAAACACTTTTTTCTGAAATTGTAATTTTTTGTAGCGGTGGGTAATTGGCCAAAAGTAAAATTTTATTTTTATTCAAAATCACCATTATTTAGCGGCCAGCGGGTTCGCTAAACATGGTACAGAAAAAGTCTCACCTGTAAACCATTAAAAGACTTGGATAAGTTCTGTACCGGGACCAAGCCCCCAGGCTAGTGGTCCCAAGAAGAATAAGCCAACGGCCTTGGTCCTCTTTGTTACACCACTGCTCTTTATTTGAATATGTTATGCTTTACTTCTGTTGTCGTACAACGTTGCAGGGTGGATTGAAAGCTGTAATCTGGACAGATGTCTTCCAATCGTGTATCATGTTCATCGGTTTGCTGACGATCATCATCCAAGGAAGTGTTGCCCTTGATGGCTTTGGAAACATTTGGGAAATCAACAAACAAAATGGCAGGATAAATACTTGGGAGTATGTTGGTCTTGTCAGTTTTACCCAATATAGTGTACATGTACATGTCATATGTCTTGAATGTACAGTAATATAGGCATATATACTATCTGATGTTTATGTTGTCAGGCTTACCAATGCTTGACATTGACGAGGGTCCCAAGTTGGAAGAATCCACATCTGGGAAATCTGTTTAAATACTGTAAGCTTTCTTAAACATGTTCAACTATATTCTTCTGTGGATAGTGATACCCATTGACACTGACATCCGGGAGACAATTGATAATGCGTTATTAAAAATGGTAAAATCATGCAAATATCGTGAATTTGCAAGAACCCTACATACTGTAAGTGAATTTTTTGTAGTAATTGGAATTAGTGGTTTAGTGCATAAATGATTAGGTCTTCATGAGCTGAACTGAGAGAAAATAATGAAAAATTGTCCAAAAATGAAAAAAAGTCCAATCATCACCTAGCCGGTGTGCTGTCTGATTAAACAACTTTATGCACAATTATTTCAGTCTGTTTAAAGTTGGACATAGCTCATTGTACTTAAATCAGTCTGATCAAATATTATCTTTTCAGCAGTGGCTTATGTATTGACATAAGATTGGGGGTGGGGGAGGGTGTTGGCTTAGAGGTGCAAAGGTAGGGAGGGGCTAGTTGTAAGCAAATTTCTAGAGGGGTACCTGGAAAGAGTCCCCAACCCTCCCCCATGCCATTAGAAATGCCACTGCTTTTCAGTACTTACCTGCAATAGTTCTTTATCATTGTCATGATTTTAAAGCAGACAATATTTCCAAAATACTGTACATACTAAGTATATATAGTTATTATCTGGTTTTTATCGTTTTTTTTTTTAGCAGTTTATGATAATAAAAAGTAAATCTTATTTGCTACAGCTTTAGTGTTGACATCACAAATCGCCATACAGTTTGGAATCTGATAATTGGTGGAACATTTACTTGGCTGGGTATTTTTGGGTGCAACCAGGCTTCGGTGCAACGTTACCTCAGCTGTCCAACATTAAGAGATGCAAAACTGTAAGTCAAATAAACTCTAGTAACCCTATGATAGTCTTATGATAAGGTCGATGTGACGCTAGAATGAATTCACTCATTTGTGACCGTCCTACCCATCCTACAACGTAGATTCACACCAAATTGCATCCTAGAATGCATGTGATAATGAGAACTTAATGTTCTCGCGTGTGCAGATGGCTTGTTGGTGACACCATTACATTCTATGTCTTTGACAGTAAGTTCACTATGGTGTCTACTATGGTGAATAAATTGATGAAAAAATATCATCCAACTCTATTATTTTTCAGGCAGCCACTGTGTGCGCTAAACCGTGGTGATCCACTGTTAATCTTCGGTTCTTGGTTTATTTTATTCGCTGGGTTCTGTGGGCTTAATTTTGAAGCCTGAAATGCAAGTATAAAGATCAAACCATTTTTGGGAGAAATTTAAGCTATGGCCTGTGTTCAATATTGCCCATGTGCATGTTAAAGAACGCAGTGCACTCTTGTATAGGATTGTGTGTACGGGATTGTCTTCCGGTGTACTGCCTAATCTGATCAACACAAAAAAGGTGTGCATTCCGACTTCCGTGGGTTACTCTCATTGGTGGTCACACCGAAATCCAATGACTTGTTAGCTTTGAATACTAAACTTATATTAATTTTATCCAGGTCATTGTATTTTAACCTGCCTTTGATGTCCCTGTTGATAAGTTTGACCATGATGTGTGGACTGGTTATATTTGCCATGTATGCTGATTGTGATCCCATAAAGGCTGGTTATGTCAGCAAGGCAGATCAGGTTTGTATACGCATGTTGATTTTGGCTATGTTCTCATACGGCAGCTAACGGTTAGCAGGATCCGGATCCTGCTAACCGTTAGCTGCCGTGCGTCCATGCGAGAAAATCCTGATCCGGATACAAACAATATGATGATCGAATCACTGGCCAATAAGAAACTGGAAATTGTAAACGCGTACGTGTGATTGGTTGATGATAGAAACGCCCTCAACTTGCTAACTGATAGCGCTTGCTAACGTATCATATCCGGATCCCGCTAACGGTTAGCGCTAACCGATTGGGCGTTCTCATGCAGGTGCTAACGGTTAGCGCTAACGATTAGCTCCCGATCCGGATACTAGGGCTCTCATGAGAACCAGGCTATTTTCATCTTGTACCAGCACTGGCAGTGGCACTTAATGTAGTTCGGACAAATTGTTGGAACCCCCGTCGGCAAGTTTCTAGAGCCTCCACTGTGTCCAAGCACAAAGAAGAGTAGATCCTGTATTACACATTGATAGATAGATAATTATTATAATAGTATTTATTAATTAATTAATTTTCTTGAATCATCTGCAATTTCTATATTTTATATGTTCTTGTTTCTTGTATTTTTGGTCTTTGTTTAACAATTCACTTTCCTGTTTGCTCTTGATTTGCTAATTTTGCGGGCAGGTGTTTCGGACAACCATGTAAAAATCGATGAGAGTACAAATTAATACTGAACTTAAGATATTGGTATTACATGCTGGCTAAGCTATCACTTCTAATGCACTTAGACTGTAATAATTGATAATGCCTCAGGCAGCTGGAACTACATACAGATCACATACAAGTAGATGCAATTTTAATTGGATGTACACCATAGCAATAATAATAATTATAGTAGGATTTCTTGTACAAGTTATTGAAAAAACCTCTAGATGCACTTGGGGATTGAGGAATCAAGCCCAAAAAATATTCCTATTCTTTAAAATAGGCATTGCTAACCATTGAATCCAAGCTTCCACACTTTGTAAATAGCTAGATTTTCTTATGGCTGGGTGAGCAACCTACCACAGATGACTTTTTTTTTTTTTTTTTTTATGTCAGTTTCCTCTTCAGTGTTTTGTTCAAGTTATTAATTCAAAATACAAATTATGTTGTTGAAAGAGAGTTGGTTCACTGTATTTAAAACAAAAATATAAATTTTAACTATGGTAGCTGGATTATTTTTTTTTTCATTTTATTAATAATAATAATAATAATAATAATAATAATAAATATTACCTCAGTAGTTCTGATAGTTGGTTCTAATAAAATGAAAAAAAAATAATCCAGCTATAATTTATAAAGAATCAGATGAAATTCTTCAATGATTTAACTATGATAACTCACTGAATGTCAGGTGTTTAATAAATACGAGTTTCAGGTGAGAATTTGATTCAGCACTTAGAAGATACTGTACATGCATAAGAACATATATTGGCATGTTTCATGTGTTGATAATGTATGTGATTATTATATCTGCTGGTAAGTGGTAATTAGCAAATACAGTAATAATTAAGAAGACATGTAATTATCAAACAATTCAACATGTACCACATACCGATTACAGTAATTGTTTGGTAACTGATTGGATGAGTGATTAGTTAATCTGTTGATTGGCTAAGTAATTGATTGGTTATGTGATTTGATTTGTTAATTAATTATTGGTTTATTGATTGGTTAGTTAATTAGAGTAATGATTGATGCCTTAATTGGTTCATGAAACCTATGCACATATTGCATTACTGTTGCAGACATAAGAGTATTGTTTTCACAACTATATGTCCTTGACATGTTCATTACATTTTTGCTTACATCAGCTTCTTCCATTCTATGTCATGGATCAACTTGGCTTCATCAAGGGGTTGCCTGGCTTGTTTGTGGCTGCAATATTTAGTGGTGCTCTTAGGTGAGTTGGCACATGTTATTCTGTACCCGCTTCAAAACCATACAGTACCTGTTGTAGTTGTACACTTTACAATCTGGTTGATAATCATAACAATGGTTTCAGCTTGCTTCAGGTGAGTTTGTATATTATACTGTACCCTGGTTAATACCATACCAATGGTGTTGGGGCATGGCGCTTCAGCCACACCCCACTGGACAGGTCATAAGCCCCTCATCGGGCAGTCAGACCATAAAAAATGTAAAAGTTGGCCCACACCAAGCCAACACATTGTCTGTCACAGTTTGAGAGTGCCATTTCCGACCATCCAGAGTTTCCTCCTTAAAAAAAAAATCTCATTTGGGAGGGGGACCCCTCTCAAACTCTTCTCCCAGCTTGGCCCTAAGATCTCAAGTCCCTCTGTCAGACAGCTTAACCCCCCCTCCCCCAGAAAGTATATCCTAGAGCTCACACTGTTCAGGGGGTAAAGTTGAGTTGGTATTATCATGGAGGTATTATTGAGAAGGAGATCACTCGGCAAATCTACGCGCACGCAGCGCTATGCAAATGAACCAAGATCAAAGTTGCCGCAGCGCGTAAAGAACGTTTGAGTGATGCCTTTGAAGTCCCATGCGTTCCCCGCCATCAAATTTTCAGCAGGCATAGTTGACCAAAAAATTGAACATGACGAAATGGAGAGCATCTTCTATTCTCAATGCGCACTACATACTGTCAATCACTATGGCTGCGCAATCTTTTCTATTTTGAAGCTGATACATTTATCTCTCATAAAATATCAAACATATTAATATTTTCCACCAAGAAAAGTTTCGAATTTAATAGAACATTTACATGACCTATAAAAGTATAGTATATTTTAACTTCAATTTTCATAAATTTTCCAAAATTCGCCAATTCTAATTTTAACAGATATTAATTAATAAATGATTAAGGATTATAATAAACTAAGTCATTTTAGGGTTAACAAGGGTTAACTATTCGAAAAATGAATCCAAAATCTGAGTATTTTTCAGTTTTACGCTGACTTAGCTTTATAGTCGAACCACTAAATCTTTAGACAAAATTATAATGAACACAGAAGTAATTTGAACATAAATATTTTACGGAATCCGTTCCTGAAATATACAAATAATAACATACCAAAAGCCCGAAAAAATCTAATCAGGGGAACATTGTTCATTATAAAGATATTTAATGGGGTAAAATCAAACGTTTTATTGCACAACTGCTCTGCTGGAAGCGTATAAATAAATGCATGTCGTTGCCAAGTTGTTGCTATCGAAAAAATGTGAATTATAGGGTAATACACCCGCGCCCGATCCAAAAGCGGGGAACACATAGGTTTGTCGCGTCAAAGGGATCTGTTGCCGAGTGATCTCCTTCTCAATAATACCTCCATGGTATTATATACTCTGGTGGTATACATCCCAATTGTTCAGGTTTGTTAAGGTGAGTTTGGTATATTACGCTGTTACTCTGGTCAGCACCATACCAGTGGTTCAGCTTTGTTAAGGTGAGTTGGTATACACTAGAACCTCTATTAAGGGGACACCTTCGGGACCAAAAAAGTGTCCCCTTAATAGGGGTGTCCCCTGAATAGAGGTATTCCTATTTTACATTCACCAGTTACATTTTATATTTATTTTCTCCTCCGTCTGGATGGTTTTGGCAAAACTATTTGCTAAACAAAATTTTATTTTTATTCCGCCCTCCTCCGATAATCTTTAAAAAAAATAAGTATGCGAAACAAAGAATAAAAAAAGTCTCGCCTAAGGTTAACTTGTATTACACTGTACTTTGGTCTTTACCGTCCTACCCGTCCTACAGTTCACTATTGTGTCTACCGTGAGTGAAGCATACTGTACATTTAAATATAAAATGCTCAGGATGTTGTTTGACATAAGAAAGTTATGAAAAATCTTAAAATTTAAGTATAATATGCAAATATTTTTTTTATCAGTAAACATTATATATAGATATTGAAACTTGTCTTTTGTGCAGTACGGTGTCATCTGGGTTGAACTCGCTCGCTGCTGTCACGTTAGAGGACGTCATTAAACCGTTTCAGCGTGGTAGAAACATGGCCTTCCTGCCAGATCCAACAGCTACTTTAGTAACTAAAATTCTAGGTGATTAAAAATTCCTTCTCTATATTTTAAAAGATCAGTGACAACAATTATTAAAATGCAAAGTCTGAAAGACAATAATATTTGTGTTGCGTTAATAATTTGAAGAATACAAAATGATTCACAGATGCATCAATTCATTACAGAAAAAAAAAGACAAAAAACAAAGGGAAAGGGAAGTTCAGGGCCCCCTTGTCAGAAATAAAAACAAATTTTATCAGGGAGAGATAAAAACGTTATATGTATTTTTACAGATTGTTAGATGCCTTTCTAATCCCTAAATTATCATAAATTCCAGGGGCTTCACCCACCAGATCCTATACAAGAGTTTCTGAGCAACCCCCTGGCTACGCCCACTTACAGTGTCAAGGGAGATATCAGCAGATAGGGACATCACCACCCACACAGGCAAATTCTGGGGCCACCACTGGCCATGCAGAAGGTCAAACTTCATAAAGTTTGCACAAAGTGTTCTACAAAATTGTTCATAGGAGACAAGAAAGAATTGCAGTGTTTGTGTCAACCTGTGTGTTAAGTGCAAATACTAATATCATATAATGTTTCTTTTGTTTTAAATTGATGAACAAAACATTTTCTTTTTCTTCACAGCCTGTTGTTATGGTGTTGTAGCAATAGGGATGGCATTTGCTTCATCTAAGCTAGGCCCAGTACTGCAAGTTGCTCTTAGTCTGCTTGGGGTCATTGGAGGACCTATATTGGGTGTTTACAGTCTAGGCTTATTCTTTCCTTGGGCTAATAAATGGGTAACTATTTTATAATTATAATAATAGCAACAACAATAACACAAAATTAAAAATAATGGGAATAACATGAATAATTTAACAAAGATGATAATTATATTATTATATTTGGATGTTGTTTATATAAGGAAATTTCATAAAAGTAATGTTTTGCCCTACCTCAGGTGTTATAGTTATAATATGGAATATTCAGTGTGTTCACAATTTTTTCTCAAGTGATTTGGATGAGAATCGAACCCATGACCTTCAGATAACAGGCTTGGTGTCATAACCACTAGACCACCGATCATGCAATTAGTGGCTAGTGTTGAATTCGACCCCAACGTGACAAGTGGGTACAGTATATTACATTACAGTGCAGTGGGAAAGTTGGTTTAGAAAAGCTTACTAAATTATCAAAAACCATTTACTTTTTTTATTATTGTATTTGGCCATCATTTGAAAGATGATATTTGCTGATCTCATAGGCGCAAGGTCTATTTAAAGTTAATGTCTATACACCATTAAATATATAATATTAATATATAATTTACGTTTGCATAGTTTAATTTATTGTAAAACTATTCCTCGCATAAACATTATATTTAAATTTATGATTGTTTATTCTCTAAATTTATAACTGATCATTTATTTTTTGCTTTCATTTAATGCAAACTTACACTATTTGAGTATGCATTTAATGCATACTTAAATAGTTTAACGTCTTCTTTTTTAAAGGGTGGGCTAATCGGATTACTGTCTGGGTTTGGCTTATCCTTCTGGATAATTTACGTTTGCATAGTTTTAATTTATTGTAAAACTATTCCTCGTATAAACATTATATTTAAATTTATGATTGTTTATTCTCTAAATTTATAACTGATCATTTATTTTTTGCTTTCATTTAATGCAAACTTACACTATTTGAGTATGCATTTAATGCATACTTAAATAGTTTAACGTCTTCTTTTTTAAAGGGTGGGCTAATCGGATTACTGTCTGGGTTTGGCTTATCCTTCTGGATAAGTATCGGTGCTTATTTCTATCCGCCAACTAATCCTACTTTACCGACATCAGTTGATGGTTGTTACGAAAGTGAAAATGCGACATTTACGACAATGACGATGATATCCACTGCAGTTCCCACTGCTGGACCACCTGAGTAAGTATTACAAAATTACAATGTCAATTTTTATAACTATTTCATTCTCTTCATTTCCATCCTCTTTAGCACTCTTTCATCTCCAATTTCCTATCCGCTCTTATTGTAGGGAAGAAGTTTCATACAGTTAATTTTGATGTTTTAAATTTGATGTTTATGTATATATATAATATTATATATATATGTTCATAATATGTAATAATAAGTAAACAGTATAAATAAACAAGTACATATGTGCTTTACCCATGACCATCCTACTACAAGTAGATATTTGTGAATACCGTAAAACCTTGAATAGAAGCCCAATGGGCTTAATCTTGAGGGGAAGCCATCTTGAATTGAAGCCCCCTCTTCAGTTTGCAAAAGTAGCCTCGAAAAGGACGACATGAGCTTTGTTTTTTTGAGCTTCAGTAGTACAGTACATACACTATACATGAATTTCAAAGGAACGAAATAACTTAAAATTCATGCTTGGTTGTACAGTAGTTCAGGTGATTTGAATGCCGGTTAATATACTCCATGATACAAATTGATTTTACAGTGGCCCTATTTATTGTTTTATAGTAAGAATTCCCAAAATTTGCAGTATTCATTTTGAAAAGAATCCCCCCTTCTTTACTTTGCAAAAGTAGCCTCGAAAAGAAGCCCATCTTGAAAAGAAGCCCATCCGAAGTTTGCCAAAAAAAAAAAAAAAATGAAGCAGCACAGGGCTTTAATTCAGGGTTTTACGGTATTTTCAATATTAAATTATATTTCTGTCTTCTTCTTCTTTCATTTAGGAGCAAACTTCATTGTTGAAGGCTACTGCTCTGCTCGCTCTAGCTTTTGCAATTATTATGCATACGGTTTGTGGTGCATACACAATTAAACAATTTTATTTTATTAATACTAACACTTTAAAGTGTCATTAACATTAATCATATACTAATTTGACCAAAGGTTTGTGATGACTATACCGTCCAGATGCGTGCAAAGATCTTGAAGAAAAACACCATACCGCTGTTTTTTTAGGTGTCATTTTTTTGAGTTCCTATTTATGTCCATTAAAATGTCGTTAAAAAAACAATTTACTCTATCATGAATCTACAAAATGTTGAACGAGGACTAGTCATGCTACAAGTAACACATGTGAGAATTTACTCAAATTTAAGTTAGTACTGTTTAATGGAAGGAGCAGAGTAATATTTAGTAACATACCACTTTAGTGAGTGTGGGTGATACAATAATTAATCACTAAAATAAGTCCATACAAATAAAGGAATGTGTACATCTATCACAACATTTTAGCATGTACTGTACAATCCAATTGTGATGACTATACCGTCCAGATGCGTGCAAAGATCTTGAAGAAAAATACCATACCACTGTTTTTTTAGGTGTCATTTTTTTGAGTTCCTATTTATGTCCATTAAAATGTCGTTAAAAAAAAAATTTACTCTATCATGAATCTACAAAATGTTGAATCTACAATCCAGTTTTTAGTATTTCATTATCAGTACCTTACCTGCTTTTGTCAACATAACAAAATTATTCGCTCACAGTAGTTGTTGCTTCTTTGTTTGAGAAAGACGACTAACACTCCCGGTATTGAGACAAGAAATCAGGAAGTTGGAAAACTGTCCAAAAAGTCTAAGGCAGAAGCTTTTGAAAAATATTGTAAAGTTTTTGGTGTCTTTCTAAAATGTTTTGTGTTCAAAGTTGTCTTTAATTTGCAAAGGCAAATGAAACGAAATGAAGGTCTTTCTAAAATTATAGCTATAGATGTAGCAGTAATCAATGTTAACACTTTAGAAAATTAATCTTGTATATAACTTATATCGGTATAGCATTTGCTGTACCTGCTGCTACTTGGGGACTGATTCAACGTTGGTCACTAAGCATAAGCTCGTTAGTCTAGTGGTTATGTCACCAGGCTAGTTGTCTGTAGGTTGTGGGAAGCAATGCTAAACTTTTATATAAAGCAGTGCTAATCTTTTATATAAAGCAATGCAGTATTTGGCCAAATATTCTTCACAAACTGATTACCTAAACATTATGACATTCCTTGGATGGATCCACAGGTGGTGATGGTCTGCAACGTCCAGAACTCCCCCTGCTGTTAGAATGCTTTATAAGCAGAGAAAAAATTAAACGGATGTTGGCAAAAGCCACCAGCTGTTTTTTTAAGAGGGGAGTTCATTTATGAGAAATAATTTTCAGTTTAATCTTATAAATTCATATTCTGGTGATGATGGTCAGTGCAATCTCACCACAATGTCAGAACAGCCCACCAGTGGTTTTACCTCTAAATCAGTATTTTTACACATAGTGCACCAAAAGTTTTTTAAGCCTCTCAAAGATAGGAGGGTGACATAACAGGAGACGGTTCCCCACATCATTTAAACTTATGTCATTTCAGGCGTGTCCTTTTTCTTTCTGGACCCCTCCTGCAAATATTTAGGGCACTCCAGTACTTACAGCCTCACAAAAGTTTGCTAAAGGCTGCCTTTTTTCGAATAATGATAATAATAATAGTAAGAACGATAATAATAATGTAATACTACTAATAAATATAATGTTAAGTTATAGGCTCAGAATACACTACTATACCTTAGTTCACTTTTACACAAAATTATTACATTATTCAATAAATCAAATTAGGTTCATTGTGAATTTTTTTTTTCTTTTAGTCCACCGATTGCTGATTTGTACCATGTCTCCTACATGTGGTACAGTGCCATTGGCTGCCTAACTGTTGTTGTTGTTGGTTTGATAACAAGTTTTATTACTGGTAAGTAAATCTAAGACGCCATAATGTTGAGCTTGTTCTTATGTGCGACTCGAGTGGCTGAGCAGTAAGGCAGGAGTGCAGCTAACTACAGCCGTAACACGGGTGCTGGTTTTGAGCCGCTCCCCACCCAGGTTTCAGTTGGTAGAACCTGGTCTTCTCGGATAAAGACCTAAAATGGAGATCCAGTGTACACATCTGGCTTGTGTGCACTTTAAGGAACCCATTGTTTCTTTAAGAAGAGTATAGGTGGAACCCCGATGCTATGGTTTATTTTAGCCCTTATTATGGAATGGTGTGAAATGAAGCTACTGTAGTCGTGGAACATGCCCATACGTAATTCAGCACAATGATGCTGCAAGTTATGGGTTTTTCCCAAATACCTTTAACTTGCTAGCTATTTTTATCTGTCCACAATGGATGAGACAAATGTCGGAGTGGTTAAGGCAGGAGTGCTGCAACCTATATCCTTAATATACACAATGGCTCATGTGATCTATGAAGAAACCAGTATGAGATCAGTAAAGTGATAACCGGGTGTACTGGTACTGACAGCCCCTGTGGTTGCTGATACCAGTTTACTGGGTAGCACAGACACAAAGGGACCCTTAAGAGTAAAAAATATTCACTGAGCTACAGTCCGCACATCAAGCATCTTGTTAGATGAATAACGGTGATATACAAATTATTAAAATTGGCCTGAATCCACTACTGCTTTACCTTGGAATATATAAATACTGTAAATAACTATGTTAACTGATCATTCATGTTTTTCATTAGCTTATCCATAAAATGACCTTCCGGAGGATATAAAAGAAATTACCTTCAGTTAAAATGTCCAAGTCCATTAAAAATCATATTTTCACAACATATTTTTTCTCCTTTAGTTTTCTGGCAATTTTACTCTCATCTGATTTATTGTATTTATAATTGTAGGATAGGCAAGCTAGATGTCATTTTCACTAGAGCTCCTGTGAGTGCTGTTCCAGTGAGCCTTTAACACTTAGGTTTCAAATAACCAGAGAATGGAGCAATAAAAAAAATCTGCATTTTTGCCATCTTCTTTTCTTGTAACATTAGGATATTTCAAGGTCATTTTTTTCATGTAAAGTGCATATTAAATGCGTAATATGCGCTATATAAGACTTGCACAATTATTATTATTATTATTAATTATTATTATTAATTATAAACAATTAATAATACCATAATAATTATAATACTGTAATAATTATTATTATTATAACTATTATTATTATTACACTCAGAACCAAAGAAATGTGCATTAACTGATGCTGGATGTTTTAATTATTTTCAGGTCGCACGGATCCAAAAGAGGTCAATCCCAAACTGATTTCGCCAATTGTTGAAACAGTCTTCTGTTGTATGCCAGAATCATGGAGGGAAACTGTGAGATGCGGAGTAGAGTTTGGCTACGATGTAAGTTTACTGTAAAAAAAATCATTGCAAATCACATAAACATAATTTCCATCAAATACAGTTGACTCTCTTGTATTGTCAGAAAAACATTAGCTGAATGGGCCTACCAGTACCCAGTTCAGTGGTGAGGTGCCAGTGGCAAATTTTGAAGGGGAGTTTCAACCGCAAATGTTTTTACTTGAGCTTTTTTTGAAAGTGTGTAGTTTGTGCACCCAGAACAATATTTATTTGTGTTTGTTTTGACGATGCACAGTAATGATCGATACATTCCCACACTGCAAGAGTAATAATTACTCAAGAAACTTGCAATTTTTATATAATCCACTTCTGAAAGCCAACTCATAAGCATAACAAATATATCAGACACAACATTTTGGAGTCAGACTTTGCTCGGGTCTGTTGGAAATTGTCAGAACCCCTGTTAGCGTAGGACCCTGTACCCCTCCCTCTCCCCCCTCCTAGCTTCAGCAAATTCTGGCACATCTCTGATGACAAAATCACATATAATCTGTGACATTGAGGTGTTTTAATAATTAGTAGAAAATTTACATTTCTATGTTTACTTTTTAGGATGATCTCAAAGAAGAGGAGAATGCTTCTGGTGACTACTCAGGTCGTGAAGAAGACCAGAGAAAAATAAATGAGAAATTAGAATTGCACATAATGAATGGTGTAGATACTCACTTATGAAGAGGAAAGGTTTCAATTCTTTTCGTCTTTTTAGTATGCACCATTTTATCAGGTCTCTTTTGAAACAGCACCACCAATGCTGGGGAGACGTCCAACAGCCTAGCCTGAGCAAATTTCGTTTTTCCAGACACCGATCTTCTTTTGAGTATTTTGACAACCAAAAACACTGCCAGTTTTATGCCCCCTTTTTTTCTTTTTTTCTTTTTGCCATTTGTTGTGTCACCAATCACAGAACACTGGTAACTGCATAGAGCAAAATGTGTAGTCCTCTGGATGTCCCCAGTGGTAGTTGCCAGGTATTCATTTACTAATTTAATTTGGTGTTCAATGTGTTCCAAATGAGTTTGATCCAATGACCAGGGTAGTAACATGAAGCGCTTGGAGGCCTTGTAAAGGCATGAAGCGCTATATAAGAACGACATATTATTATTATTCAGAAATTTTCATTTCAAATTTAGCGAAAATGGTGTGTGTAATTATTAGCATGGATTTTGTCTTGTATTCTAAGCTAGAACAGCATGTATGCATTGTGAATATGATTCAGAATGTTGCTCGTAATGCACCGATTCCTTGTGTGCTTAGAAATCGCTAGTATTTTAACTAAATAAAAACCAAATTATTCGAAATTTACCGTTCCATACGTTTTTGTATATACTGAAGACTTGCATCGACAAGTTAAGTACATAAGCAGCATGACAGGCTGTGTAACATAAACAAAGTGAAGTATGCATAAAGTAATGATGGCAACATGTGCATCACAAAATCTTCCCTATGGCTATGAGTGTATTACCAGTGTACATTTCAAAATGTAAGGTGGTTGCTTCTCAGAGATAGGCCTACTTTGAGCCAAATAAATGAGAAAAAATTCTAAGCCAAAGATCTTGAATATATGACAACATAATTATTTATGGTTTTAGATTTCTTACTGTTAGCAATCAAAAACCTTTAAGTTAATAATAATAATTATTATCATTATTATTACTATTGTCACATTATTATTACTATTGATATTTTTAATACATATGTTTTATACAGTATAGCAATAATACTTGCCGAAACAACAATGCAATTATTAATGAAATTTGATGATTTCCAATTTAATCTCCAGATTCTGAGACATTAGATTTTAAAAGAATTTAAAAATAAAATGTGATAATTTATTTATTTAAATAAATATATTATGTGTTAATTCAATTACTGAAATATAAAATGTAGAACATTATGCACTTTTCTGATGCTTGAATTAAAATCTTGAATGTTAGATTTTTTTCTCAAATTGTTGTTTTGTGTTTTTTAATGACAAACATGGTAGTTAATAGGACAACAACCACACTTGGTTGTACATATTATCTGCTGTAGAATAATGATTAAGAAAACATGCAGCATAGACAGTAAGACACTGTGGAAAATGAGATGATAGCGAAGAGGTTTGGGATCATCTCCAGAAAATTCTAGCTTGTAGTTGTATTGTAAGAGATCTTGTGACAGAGTCAAGGGGGCCCATTTGTGAAAGTACTTCCCCAGGCCCCCTCTATTTTGAATTTCTGGAACCGCCACTGGATCTGTTCATGTTTTGAAATTGTATTCTAATCCAAGGTTTTCTTTGTGATGTATTTGCAGGGTTTTGCGTGGGGGTGAGGGGGAAGAAAATCAATGTATCCCCATTCGCTGCACCACAGTAAAACTAATGAAAGCAAAAAAAAGTCAACTAGTTAAAAATTAACTATCACTTTTGAAAAGTGGTTCCAGATTTCTCATATTTAGCTAATGGGTAAAATGAGAAAATGGGTCCAGATTTTTCATACTTGCATAAAATGGGTCCACATTGTTTGTATTTACGTGTAAAGTGGGCCCACCCTGATATTGTCCCGCACTTTTGAAAATCTTGGCTAAGACATTGAGCATAATACTGCAATGACGTCTACGGAAAAACTTGCATATTGTATTGAGTAATAATATAACCATATTTATAGGCCCAAGGATACACAGTGAATGTTTTATGATTCACTGCCACGTCATTTATGGTGCCACTTCTCTCGTACTTAAATACTCTTAGAGTAGCTTTCTCAGTAAGGAGTAGGGGTGTGTTATAAAATGGAGCTATAACATCACTTTTATAGTTCTACTTTGATCATAAAAAGTCGGTAAACAGGTTATTGGCTAGCTGTTAGGGAACATTAGTTCAGAAAACGCCATTTTAAAACACTGGAATCTATATTTAAAACAGCGTGAGAGATTGCTATGAATGATCAAGAGAAGTTGCTCAAAATACTTTGTAGATTAGACTTATAATTGAATAAGTGCAAAAGTGACAAGTAAAATGATGGCTGTAGCTATTATGGCAGGGCTTACTCACCTAATGGTATTATATTTATTCATGTGTCTATGGGGGGGGGGGAGAGGTGAAAACTCAATTCAGCTAAAACCTAATATAGGCCTATAAATAAAAAATGATAGAAATTAATATTTTGATAGCGTCGTACATTCAGGATTTTACGTGCTCTACGTAACAGCACGAGATAAGACAAAGTAGTCATCAAGTGTAATAT